GGGTAGCGATTAAAATACGAATACGGAGGTCGATACTGGGTTACTGGCAGAGGTGGCTGCATAGGGTAAGGCGGAGGCGGAGGGCTTACTTGCTGCAACTCTTTTCTTTGCCCTATAGGAAGAAGCCCTGGAGATGCGGGTTGTGGTGGTGGTGGGCGGTATGGCTGAGCGGGAATTGGGTAGGGCTGGTATCCAGGCTGCTGCATGTTTAGTAATGGATATCCTGGCGTGAAAGTGGGGGGAGGGGGTGGACGAGCAATGGTTAACACTGGTCGATAGATCTTTACTCTCCATGCTGTCTGACCGGAGGGCATGGAGTAAGGATAAGAAGGAACGTACGGCTGCAGAGGGAATCCCGTAAAGGGATAACCCGGCTGTGGAACGGCCGCTGACAAAGGTTTTACGTGAGACTTTTCGTGGCTTTTCTCGCCCTCTGATTCCGTCTGTGACTCGCTGCCCTTCTCTTTACCGTGCGCCGCTTGTTTTGGATGTTGCACTGTAGGTTGATAATATTGCTGTGGAATGTAAGCAGGCACTGGTGCTGGCACTGGCGCTGGTACTGTGTACGGATAACTGAAAACCATGCCCTGTAGCTGTACCGGTGATTTGGCTTGACCCGGTTCTACCTTGGAGCCCTGAAGCTTTTGCTTGTCCTTTGTATTTTGGTTCATTTGGAAGAACTGTGGCATGGGCTGCTGAATCATCAGCTGTGGCTGCGGGTAAACAGGCCAAGGTTGAGGGTACACCGGTCTTGGGATGGCTTGGTAGGGCTGCGGTGCCTGGTGCAACGGTTGTGGCTGGCGTGGTAGAATTAGATACTGTTGGGATGGAAGTGCTTGTGGTCGAGGTGGAACCTGGTACCGATACTGTTGAGGCTGCGCCGGGACTGTGTAGGGGTACGGCTGTGGTCGAAGAACTGGGTTTTGGAACTGTTGTGGGGGAGGCTGTGGCTGGTACCCCGGATACTGGAGTGGCCGCGGTGGAATTGGGTACTGGTAGTGCTGTGGTGGAGGTGGAACTGGAAATTGATAAGGCTGTGGTCGTGGAGGAACTTGGTACTGCGGCTGTTGTTGAGGTCGGAACTGCGCTTGTTGCGGGACTTGATACGTTGTTGGTGGAGGATAAGCTGGCACTTGATTAGGTGGGTTGTACTGTGGTTGAGCAGAACCAAACAAGTTGTACCCAGGCTGCTGCTGCGATGGCACTTGTGGCTGCTGTGTGCCAAAAGAGTTTTGGAAAAACTGCTGACCAAGTGGATCACAGCACCATGGGTTACACGCGGTGGGCATGCACTGCGAGCTCATGCAGTAACTTGGACATGAGCCTGGAGTCTGCTCCTCTGGAGAAACAAAGTTATTGATTAAACTTGTCCTGAAAAGCTTTGTAGGACTGTTATTATACATTTAGTTGAATTTTGTCACGTCACATATAAGCTAGCCAGCAAATGCACTCATCTTTTTTCCTAATATTTAGGCTGGCTGTTGACAAAGCATCATGCGACAGTTTGTCTGTATTCCCATACTACAACCTCCTTCTAATTTTCAATTTTTGATAGGATGGTTTGGCATTTGCTTCTGTGTGACTCCGTCTTAGAAGATGCTAAGAGTCCAGGAGAAAGGATTTCGTGATATTCTTAGCATTTCTGGTAACAAAGTAAGGAAGCGCGGATTGACCTCAACCAGTTATTTCCAGAGAACATGCCAGCTGTTTAGGGTACGCGCTTGGGGGAGGGGACGAGTGCGCGCGGGGGAAAAACAATTTGAGAGTTTCCTCGCACAGGCTCTCCTGAAACTCTCGTCCTATTCAGTGATTACTCTGCTTGAATTCAGACTCTAACTCATCTATACGTCAGGGTTTACGTTTTCGTAACACTTACCAACAATCATAGTAGCATTAACAAGCTGCACCTTTTCCCCGTGCAGTGTCCCAGTGATGGAGCTCCTCTTAGGAGAGTCACTTCCTTGAATGGAGTTTCGCAGAAGCTGGATCGGGTCAGCTGGAGAATCGTCATCGGGGGTGAAACGTAACTTGATATATGCCAATATTTTGTCTCCTTCCCCCTTGCTGTTGGGGAATATAATCAATAAGTGAAGCCCTGCACAACCGAAGGACCATTTGCAGTGAATATACCACTGATGGGTGTGCTTTTATTAGCGTTTTACACATCATGCCGGCATTATTTTGGGCATAATAGTGAGGCAAATGAATCTAACATTATGTTAAAATAATAGTAACAAAAACTGGAAGACGGGTGGGGGCCTTGGGAGAGCCAAAAAAATCTGGGCACCGGTCACTTGACAAAACAGTACCCACAGCAGATATCAACATATTTTGCTAGCAAGGAATTCGTTGCGTGACAACCTTAGTTATCGCAAGCACTGGCTTATCTGTACTTACCTGAAATGATCCAATGTTACTTGCTCAAACCAATCGTAGTCGCCAAACACATCAAGAAACTGTCAATCAAACAGAAAACGGAATGGATCCGCTTCGTTAACAGACGTCAACTTGTAGTTTCTCTATTCATTTCTCATTGCATTTAATGGGTGATTTTTTTTTTAAATCTCTCATCCCCTTTGTGATCAATGTACCAATTTCCTCAACCCTCATCTAAAAAAGAAAATGAATGTTGATATCGCAGCGGCAGGCTAAAAGACTCACGCAAACAGAAGACAACTGTGAACGTAAAGGTTCCCTCTTCTGTTAATGGCAATTTACATGGCTCTACAATCTCTTCAATCAAATATAATAATTTTTCCGCAAATAATGTTACTAGACAATTATACCTTAACATGTTATAACTTAACATCTTGATTCAAAAACAACTCTTTTCAGACCAGATAGCCCGTTTTGGGGCCATCGGCAAGAAAGCGATTCATTTCTTCAAAGAAAGTAAGTTACTTTACAATAACCTGCAGGAATCAGTGCATTTTAATCGGAATACGACTGAAGTTTGTCAGGATACTTTATTCCGTGTTGCAACACGTGTACGCCTGATGAAAGATGAAAGGGTAAGCGAAGACACTGAAGCGATTATTGTGAGCTTACCGCTTCTTGGATATGCCTGCTGAGAGCCTGGTACCTAGTGCTTCCCGGGTAATAAAGGTTATCCGTCCATAGTTTATTCTCGTAACGAAGGATTACCAAGTATTCTGTAATGCCTAAAAATTAAAAACAGTCGTCGCGTACGTGTCAAACAGGTTCTTGTGTTCGCGCTTACAAAGACTTTACACTAAAATTCAACTACGCTAGTCATCTTTTGGATACTCCCTGGTTGCAAAAGTGTAAATTATCCCAAGCGCAAAGGTAATTACTTGAAACGTTTGAAGTAATTAAAAAAAAAAACTGATTAATGCGATTAACAACTGAAGAATTGATCGACACCCTTTTACGGGAATCGCGGCGGCCTCTTGGCTAGTGCGCTCTTACAAGGAGTCAAGGGAATTCTCTCTGCCATCTTCAGAAAAGACTTTTTACTCCAAGAGGGAGGGAATAGGTTCTACTGACCTCTGAGGGGTTTCTTACAGACGAACCCTCTTGCTCCATTGCATGGTTTGTACTTCCAGTTGAAGTTGGTGAAGATGACGCCACATTTCTTGCCAGGAAAATTCTTCTGGTAGTAATCCCAGTTCATGAAGTTTGGTTCACTGCCGTCCAACCATGCCATGATTCCTTGATTGTTCACATCACTAACACCGATCCAGGCATCCGAAACGCCACCTGAGGTCTGTTCATGAAATTTGAAAACACCCTGTTAGAAAGCGCGTGCGAAGCTCTTCTTCTATTTAATAATTAGATTATTCGCTCTCGATTTCTATGAGGTGATAGTTATAGAAATTGAGAACGAATAGTCTTATTGTTTTAGTATAAATCTACTAGTGGTTCAAAACTTCATTCTAAATCCTCTTCACAGATAGTTACTTCAAAAACGCAAAGAAGAGTGAGCCGTCATTTTGCTAACACCCGCACGCCGCTAAGTTACTCACTGTCTATCACAGAACAGATAGTGAGTAGTGTAGCCAATCAGAGAGCGGCATGCGTAATAGAACGCTAGTAGATTTATACTAAAACCCGATAGAAACACAGAACTAGCAGGTGCTGTTGACATATATATGATCCTTTTTGAGCAGTGTTTTCTAAAAGAAATAGCAAACATTTTCCATTTGACTGTGTTTCAATAACTTGTTAGCAACACGGCGGAGCGCTTTCTATTTCTTAAATTATTTAAAACGTGGATTTATTATCCAATGTTGAGCTTTACGAATCATGATTGCTTGAACTGTACCAATTAACTAAAAGGTAGGCGCTATTGTTCTCCCAAAACATCAATGCGCGACGCGCAATCAGCGTTGAGGGGAGCGATGATAATTCGCGCGAGCTGGACAAAATAATTTTTCAGCTAGCACCTTTCTCTAGTCCAAATTGAATTTACACGTTTGCTCCAGATCCTTTTTGGAATCCCGGGTTTCAGTCAACCGCGAAGGCTCAATAAGAACTATTTGTAATGTAGAAATGCTGAATGAAATACGTGCAAGATAAAATCTAGGCACGCAATGCGTACATTTGTTTACTAGGCGTTCTGCATGAGCTATTCACTGTCATTTGTTACATGCGCCGATGATTCAAGAAAAT